ATTGAGGTAAATCTGAACAAAGCATTTGTACTATAGTTTATCTGACTATGTCATAACCACGTGCTACCATACTTACCAGAAATGAAATGAAATTGTATTTCCTACCTGTGTATACTCAGGGCTTTTACTCATAGATATAACCACCTAAAGGCAAAGCTTTAAACTCTCTTGACGGTTTAAAAATAACAGTTGTTACATTTACCTTTCTGTCTCATAAATATTCAACTTTAGAGACGTGTCTCCCAGACGCAACTGGCTTTTACCAAACAACTCGAAATGAAAAATAAAAAATCTCAGAGCGTTTTATTTGCTTCAGGGCGTTGGTTATGACCGTGGTGCATCACCTCTGTGGATTTAGAACAATCGCTGAAATATTCACAAAGATTGTGTTATTCCTCACAACACCTATTTTCACTCCGTGCTATATTTACACATGGGGTATAAATGTGAGTGCAGTGCAGTTTGTCAAGTGTGCCTCAGAGAGTCTGGGAAGAAGAAAAAAAATGCCTCAAATAACAGAGGGAACAGGGCTGTCGCTGTTATATGCCCTCAGCTGTTTCTGCTCCTGCTGCTGGGATGAGAACTTTCTTTTCCCCTAATGTTTCTGAAAACTGTTTGTCCATGATGTTTAAATCCTGGTAAGCAATGGGGTGAATGATGTGAAGAAAGTTTCTACGGTTTTTGTGTCGGAATCCCAGTCAGAAATAATTTTTTCTAACATAAGAGGAGACTTGTGAAACCAGTGTTGAGATACGCTGAAATACAATATTAGACACTCTTCTTACCATTGCACCCATTTGAATATCACTGCAAGTGTAACTCATTCAAAAAGCACAGTAAAAGTACAGTTTTCTCCCTCTTGTTGACTAGTTTTAGTTTTTTATTTTTTAGAAAATACCCCATGAGCATCTAAGGTAGTCCACGGGGGCTACCAGGTGTCCCCGGGCACCACATTGGTGACCCGCTGAACTAAAAGGAAGTTTGTTATTAAGCCATAAATATACACATTTCTGCACGGTTATATACTGTACATATACGTATATATTTACATTTTTAAATGAAAATTACATAAAAAGTAAAAATATATATAATTTATATAAAATAATGATATAATATTGTTTATAGTCCTAGGTATAATGCTGCACAGTTCCATCTCTGTTCAAAACGTTCCTTTTTGAGCTATAGATTTATATCATAAATTATACAATTTATGTAAATGTCTTCCCTTTGGGAAACCTGAGCTAAAAGCCATTCATGTTTCTGTCCGGTGAAAAAAAAAAAAAGCCAAAATAATTTCATCGTCTGTCTTTGACTTCATTCTTTTTTGCCATTCTTTGTTTGGAAATTTGTTGACATAGCCCGAGACACCGTACCTAAAAAAAAGATGGAATCCTGTTTATGGCCTCGTTTTCTCACCTACCCTCTGCTGTCAGTAAATCCTTCCTGTCCTTTGACAGTGCTGTGGTGTTTATAGGTTTTAATAGGGAGACTGTGATCATCATATTGACTGCACTCTTCTCACCCTAATGGCTGCTTTAAATCGCTGGCAGAGACAGTGTATTTTGCGAGGGTGAGTTACAGTCAAATTAACATGGAGAGGGAGGAGAGTGATTCTGTTCTGTTGCGGCTGCTGTTGCTGGGAGGCAGGAAAAACAATCGCTTCACTGATTGTCAGACGCTATCGAGAGGAGGAGGAGGAAGTGGGTGAAAGGCAATAAAGGACTTTCATCAGGAAAAGAGTGAGAAAGAGTGAGATGGATTGGAGACGGTGGGTGGAATCAAATGTTCCTGACTTCCATTAAAAGAACCGTAAAACACTTTTAATGGCCAAATATTGGGCTCTTTAAAACAGTACATTTAGATCCTGCCTGTTTCCCCTGGGCTCATTCAGCAGCGGCAGCGCTGCATTGCATGCTGCTACATTTACAAATCCTGCAGCTAACGATTGTCAATAATCAACAAGCTCAGTTCTCCTAAATTTTTCTTCAGAAACATTTGGTTTATGTGTGTGGTTAGGGCAGGATCGAGAATTTTAATCGCAGCACAGAAAAAATACCAAAACCAAAATTAGGTTCATAATTTGAAATGTTCAGTCTTAAGCATATTTCACACCAGTGTTGGTCGGCCGGATTAGAACACCCTGTGTACCGGATCTGTCCCCCGAGCCCTAGTTTGGCCATGTTTGACCTAGATAAAACTTTTCCATCTATCATGTCAACAACGAAATGGTTGAAATAATAAGATGGTCATAAGTGCTTCACATGCGTCACCGCATCATGGAGATTCCTTAACGAGTTGGCCCGTAGCCAACAAGAGACAAGATGTACACGTGGTCCTGGGTTTGTCGCCATCTCCCATGAATACGGGCACTCATTGGCGAGTGGAGTAGGCCAATATTTTGCTAGCAGCGCTATATGCGGGGGAGATGGCTTTGTTTACATTTGCCAGTTGTACTCCATACATTGGATTGTGCTACACTCGCGTTCTTTCATTTGTTTTTTTTTTTTTGTGGGAACTTTTTGCCTCTCATTGTTGCTGCCAAGCATAGGTCAGACTCTTCTGATGTGGTTATGTCCTACCTGCGGCTCTTTGCCCGGTTTCATTGCGCCGCTTAGGTTTAGGTCGAATTTTATGTTTGTGGTTTTTTACGCTATGTGAATCTCATGCAGATGGGCATTACCTACTTAGGGAAAACCCAATTCGTACAGATGAAAAGATAGAAGTTTTAAAAGATTGGGGGAGTTTTATATAGTTTTTTTTAAAGGGATGGGACAGCAAAATTGTGGCTCTTAGCCTTTTGACTGGTTGGTCTCCCCTATTCTAGATTACGATGGTAACTCTGTGTTAGCGTAGGTGAGTGGCATAGGTACATATGTACAGTGTACTAGTTTCAACTTAAGATGAAAAACGAGTTATGTCACATTGTGATGAAAGGGAAGTCCGATGTAATTCAAGGACCCCTTCATACATTTTCCCACAGTGTCGGAAAATCAGATAGCTGGCTTCTGAACAGAACACAACACAGCCGTGTCCAATTTTTTTTTTACACACCTACACAGAATTGATTGCATCAGACTTGTTAATGTTTGCTTAACAATTTGCCCTGTCTAAGCAGTTTGCACATGCATTGAACTTCTTCTACATAATATCAAGTGGATATGTGACACTCAGTGCTTTGTTTTTGGAAATGTCCTAAAACCTTTTTCAATGTCCTATTTACAGCCATTCGCTGTGTCTCAGTGTTTTTCCCCCGCTGCTGATTCTGCTCTCATCTCTCGTCTCTCATCATCGTCATCTACCAGGCTTTTAGCTCCATTAGTTGTTGGTGCGGAGCGGCGGCAGTAACAGCAGCAGCACAGACAGACGAGTGTAGGACTGTAGGTAGCACTGCTCTTTGTGACATGGAGATCAGGCTCCAACAATCTGCGCTTTGTGTGTGTTCGTATAAATCCAGCCTCTTGTCTCGATTCCTTCAGCATGAGTTCTTTCTCCATGACTCATCTAGAACAGCGGAGTGTATCATTAGAAAACATGTTTTTCTTCTGTTCTGTGAAACAAGTGTCCAATTTTCAGGGTCACTGCACAGTCTCCATTCACAATCTAACAGGAACTAGTGCTGGTAACCGGGGACAGTGCTACCAGGAACTGTTGTTACTACTGCAGTGGTTATGGAGTTTGCCTCCCTTCACTATAAGAACTAGTTCCAGGAAGATGGGGCAACACCATATATGAAGTACATTCCCATCAATCATACCAGTAAGAGGGTGTGGACTGTACCAGGAACTATATGGTCACATCTAGTCAATATGTTTTAGCGATACTCAATATATATTGATATTTTTTTCTGACGTACAACATGGTCCTCTGCCTTTTTTTTCAGGACTTGTTTAATTAAATGTGAGGCCTTTCTTCATATTTGTTGTGGTTTCTCATCAAGGTTTAAAGGCTGGATATCCTGGATTTTATGGCTCTTGGATAAGTGATTAAAACAAAAATGCCTCGGGGCTTTTTGGGAGAATGGATATATGAACAGCTTGTGACAGTTCCGTATTCCCTTAGCCTTGCAGAAGCTGCTGTCCTCCCAGTTATCGGTAAGGCTTACCATTAATAAACTCCTCTCTCTCCTCTCGTATACGTGACATTTTGACACTGCTGCACTGACAGGATTGGTTGAACGCAAGCTAATTAAATCAGTCACGGGAGTCTGATATTAAAAATATTGACACGCTCCAATTAGTGACAATGCCTTCACGATATGCACCCATTTACTAATGTATACTCACAATAATGAACAGAGAAAAAATTAATATGAAGCAGGCGTACAAAGTGAATGTCAACTCCTTTTTGTCATTCAACTAAGTGTGGAGGAACCATAACCCAAAACATGAACATAAATAACAAGAGCAA